AATTGGCAGATATATTTCCACTGCTGCCACCCAGTTTGCTAAGTGCTAATGTATTCATTGCTGCAGTCACCTGGGTGACTAATAGCTATACTGAAACCACCTATAGACCTGCACTAGAATAGATACATCCTTAAGTACAAATCCGTACTTCTAGTGGTCCTGTTGTCATTGTAAGTAACTGTCGGAAACTCAGTAAGCTACAGACTCTTCTCTCCCCTAGTTTCGATATAGTTTGTTTTACTCCTAATTGTAACTTAGAAACGTGCAAGTCTCGCATTTATTTTACTCAGTTTTCTAGATAAGGGGGTCATACTTTTTTATTTGTAACCCATTCCTCAAATGTCTGTTTGCACCTTTAAAAAAACACAGAATAGAACACTCTGAAGACAAAAACAAACAAACAAAAACACCACCAAACAAACTCTAACAAAATAACAACAAAACCCTCCTTAGGAAGCAAGCTGTAGCAAAACTAAGCTTACATTTCCTATGAGTATCAAAGTTGCTTCTGGTTTAGTATCCATGGAAACCTGCTCTCCCATCCTGCTGCAGGAATTAATTGAAGATCCCAACCACTTGTTCAGGGAATCACCATGATATTAATTCACATCACAATCCCTTTATTATCTCAAATAATCTTTTCATTGCTTTATATCAGAACAAAAGGTTTAATTTGCTTTCACCAACTTAAACAACAAAGGGCCATCTAACTCTTTTACCTTCTCAAAATGGGGTACACTGCATAGAGGCTATGTGTTTTCATCTTGGAAAATGGTGATTTTGAAAGGAGCTTGGCCACAGTGTTGATATCAGATGTCACAGTTGGGAGCGCTCTATGCAAAATTCCTTCCCATTTTGTGCATTAAGCACTGTTTTTCACCTATGCCACCAGCTGGTACTAACTCAGGGAAAAAGTTGCCACCCTTCAGTATCAGGACATACCTTCCTCTACAACAGTTGATTCTGTCCTATAATGATAATGTGCAAAGCTACCAAGAGAATAGACAAAGGTGGACTTATGTTAAGGAGTATTGTTTCTAGACTTTTCTTTGAAGGTTTTTCATTAATTACAAACATAAGTGTGTCATGTTCCCAATTGCTTTGTTCCAGGATCATCCATCTCTAGGCATCTACCTTTGAACTTTAATTTCTTTTGCTTTTATTTCCTGCTTATTTCCCTGATTGTTTTCCCTACTCCCTGTATTTCTCCCTAGCCTCCAAATAATCTTTTCTACCCTACTTTTCTTCTCAGACATCGATTTTCCCCCATTTTCATCTGATACTTTGTATTTAGCAGCTGCTCTTTTTGTAACCATGACAACCCTATCATGATGTCAGCAAAGGATCTCACTGCTACCTGAGGAAATGAATCTCATTAAATGCAAGTTAAGCTGCTTGAGCTGACGTTTACTGTTCTGTACCCAGGGGAAGAGTTTTGTTTGGAGGCTCTTGGCTCACAGTTAAAACTTAGAAAGGGGCAATTTGTTACACTGGCCAGTATACAGAGCCTTTCTCCACCTCTAGTTCATGCTACTGAGATACAGTCCCTCATACAGATATGCACTGTCCAAATAACATTATTGCAAGAAAGATGGCAGGGATATTATAGACTGACCATACAGTCCTTGGTTAGATCCAAGAATAGATCCATGCTGTGTTGACCTCTTACACAAAGATATATATCCAATACACAGGATGCATGTTACAGAGCTGGAAAAGGACAGCAAAGGACAATGCTCATGTGATCCAATAAAAAAGAAAAAGAGACCTGGTAAAAGGAAGAAGTTTTAACGGAATAATTTTTTTTTTGTGCATTTGATCTAGACTCTCTGCTTGTAGTGACTGTGGGTACATTGCACTTAGGGAATAAATTTAGTATAAAGTGCTGTTTATTTGTATAGAACCGATTCACCATAATGATGTCTTCAATAGCGCTGACTTCACCACCCATATCATCTGCCACAAAAATTAAAAAGGACTGTAATTCCCTTTACTCTTCTGATAAGAATAAATTTTAATACTAATTGCAAGCACATGACTTTCAGAGACTTTTAGAATACATTATGCTCAACTACATATCATATTGGAGCTGAAAGCAGTATACATTCTGTACAATTCCCCTCACTAACAATATTCATAATTTTGCATTTCTTAATTTAATTACTTTTTTTTTTTTTTTAAATAGCTGAAATAAATACTGGTTGCAATCAATTCATTTGACTTTTTCCCCACCATGGGTAGAAACTTCAAAGTTCCTCAAAGACATTGAGAAAAGAATTTTCTGAGCCTAGAAACCTCATCCTCATGGCTCCTCTCTGAAGAAAATTGTACAGGCACATTTTGGACCCGAAGGATATCAGTCTTGCACCTGTGGAGCTCCTTTAGTTGGTAGCCCTGTAGAGCAAGGTCACTATCAGCAAGGTGGAACCACGGTTAGTTTGGGGGGATAGAAAAAGGAAAAAGCCTGAATAATTCATTATGTGGTTATGGAGTACAGAATTCAATAACCACATTGAGAATCAAATTGAGAATCAAGAGGATTTTTTATTTTTATTTTTCCCCCAAAATCCTTTAGATCAAAGAAAACTTGTAAACAAATTTACAGTTTATGGAAGCCTCTCCAGCAATCTGAGGTAAACCTAGAATTTTCATGGCAGAATGGCAGGCTCAAAAAGAAATACTAAATAGCTTAAAGTACATTTTGCTTGTACGGTTTCCTATTTCCTCATTTCCTCTGATAGAAAAGGCATAACTAAGAGGTGAACACATGTTAAGTGTACAGGCAGGCATGCATGAACAACCTGAACATCTTTCTCTCAAACATGGTGGTTTGAACGTGACAAACCTGGACAAAAATGCAGATGCTTCCACTAAGAACTTCTGTACTATCATGACCAATGAACATTGCTGGGTTCTCTTTGATGTGAAAGTCCACAGACCTACTGTAGTCAGACAATCACAGAATCAATTGTTTAGGTTGGAAGAGACCTCAAGATCATCAAGTCCAACCTCTGACCTAACACTAACCAGTTCTCCACTAAACCATATCGCTAAGTTCAACATCTAAACATGTTTTAAAGACCTCCAGGGATGGTGACTCCACCACTTCCCTGGGCAGCCTATTCCAATGCCTCACAACCCTTTCGGTAAAGAAGTTCTTCCTAAGATCCAACCTAAAACTCCCTTGGCGCAACATTAGCCCATTCCCCTTCGTCCTGTCACCAGGCACATGGGAGAATAGACCAACTCCCACCTTGCTACAGCCTCCTTTAACGTATTTATAAAGAGCAATAAGATCATCCCTGAGCCTCCTCTTCTCCAGGCTGAACAAGCCCAGGTCCCTCAGCCGCTCCTCGTAGGACTTGTTCTCCAGGCCCCTCACCAGCTTCATCGCCTTTCTCTGGACTCGCTTGAGCACCTTGATGTCCCTCTTGTAGTGTGGGGCCCAAAACTGAACACAGTACTCAAGGTGCGGCCTCACCAGAGCCGAGTACAGGGGGACGATCACCTCCCGAGCCCTGCTGGTCACACTGTTTCTGATACAAGCCAGGATGCCGTTGGCCTTCTTGGCCACCTGAGCACACTGCTGGCTCATATTCAGCCGACTGTCCACCATCACTCCCAGGTCCTTCTCTGCCTGGCAGCTTTCCAACCACTCATCTCCCAGCCTGTAGCTCTGCTTTTTCCTGTTCCTCTCAGTGAATGAAAGGCAAGAAATACTGCTTGCATTAGAGAAGCAGCTTTGTTCCACAGGCATTGTGATTATAATCGTTATCTTAGACCACAAGGACCAGTATTTTAAGGGGAAATAATTTTCCCTTCAATATAGAGTTAAAAATTAGACATTGTGTTGTATTGTTAATTACCACCAAGACTGAGGATCCCATCTGTGATTAACCACTCTTCCATGTCATGGATGCTCAGGGTACAATCTCCCAGCCCCATTTTTTACATGGGGGCTTTAAGAAGAAGCAAAAAGACAATCCTTCTCCATTATAACAGAAACTTCAAACCAGTATCGTCAAATCTGAAATCCCAATAAGAAACTTCTGCTGCTACTGCATACTGCACATAGCATTCTGGCTCATTTCCTATGAGAAATTACACTTCTTGAATGTAGATCAGATATTGCCATAACCCCTTCTTGTTTCTATGTTCATTTGCATTTCTTTGTTGCTCTTAAGAGCAACAAATAGATTGTTTCTCTAAAAACTATAGGCTAGTTCCAGTTCAGGTGCTCTATTTACCTGTATTTATCAGGTAGGTCAGATAACATTATCATTGAAGTTCCTTCTGGCTCTCAGATGTTTTATAAACAGACTTCACACTTCATCCTGCCTCCTCCTTTTTGCCTCTATAGGCTTCCATTTTTTAGCACTGCTAAAGGGCTAGCTAGACACCTCAGTAAATAATTTGCTTTTGCTTGGAAATATTTTGGTGTAGCAAAGCGTAATACCACAGGTCTTCCAAAGCTATGTAAGATTTTTTTCTATATCACCATGGAGAGTTTCCCTCCCCTCCCCATGAGCTTATTTCTCTATATATTTACAGTGCTGTAAAGCAAAAGAGCAGTTGTAATATCAAAGGGAACAGCATCTGAATAGGGACAGGACCAGCAATGATTCCTTGGGCACTGATCTAACCTAAATCTGAGCGTTACCATGTCTCTATTTCCCTTCCCCTCCCCTCTTGTGTTGCCAAATGAAGTGTTATTTTGCTGGGCATTTCTTAGTCTCATATTCATCCTCCTTTTCTGAAGAAACAAACATCTAGTATTTTCAGTATTTTGCATGGGTTTTAAAAAAAAAATCTTTGGGACCTTCAATGTAGAAAGGGCTCAAGCCGATTCCAAATTCCTCTAAAGCACAAAGGAATGCTGCCAATCTTCTTCTGCTTGTAAACATGTTTTCCACACTACACAACTCCAGCAAAAGCCACTGAAGTGACAAAAATCACATTTTCCAGTCTATGAAGCACGAAATCTTTGTTTCTGCTTTTACTTTTTTTTTTTTTTTTTTTTTTTTTTAAAAAGGCAACTTCAAGAGCTTAATGCATTGGAGGGGAAGGTGAGGAGGACTTTTGTAGTCCTTAAAAAAGGAAATACAGAATAGGTCTGGATTCAAAAACACTTTTATTAGGGATATATTAGTAATCCAATGAAAGTTGTCAAATTTGGGATAAATCCTCAGATTTCATTACTAATGAAGGTTAGGATACAGTAAGCGTTTCAGAATATATATGCTAGTACCTGCTTTCATTCATCAGACTGAAAAGTTTATCCCCAAAACCATTATCTCACAAAATGACAAAATGAACTGTGATCATAAAACAATCAGCTGAAAATTACTAGTTTCCATTTCAGTTTTCTTGCTGAGAAAAGTATTTAAATGAAAGGGTTTACAGAAAATAGAAGTGTGTCAATAGTTGGCATCTTAAACTCTGAAAACGTAGCACATTTCTCCTCCCCTATTACAGGGAAGGAAGCAGGTCCCTGCCTGCCATTTCTGTTTTTTTTTTTTTTTTTTTTTCCTATGCTGCTGTTTTTAAATTTGTCAAAGTTTTGTCTTGTGAAGATTCAGGAAAAAAAAAAAGGAAAAAAATATGAGAGAGAATAATATAGTACAGGCAGGAACACAATTAATATAAACTGTGCTACATATTAATGGAAAATATAAATATTTTCCTATCTTTCAGAAAGATTTAAAAATATCTCTAGCAAAGGTTTTTATATTTTACTCATATGGGATCATACATTTAATTATATGTAACATTTAACTGACATTTATTTTCAAGCTCATTTTCTTGCAAATCTTTAAAATATACCTGTCTTTGCATATTTGCACTTGGCAATGTAAACACTTCATCAGTTAACTCTAGATCTATTCTCAAAACCAAAAAAGCAGGTAACTACTTTCAAGCACAGCTACTTTGAGTTAAATTTGAACCTGTAGCAGTCCTAAATGCTATTCTTAGTTAACAGAGGCAATCATTACCTCTTGATTTTAACATATTCTAAATTCTCCAGATATTTTACTTTATAAAAAATGATTTGCTAAATATTCCCCAAAGCTGTTTCTGCTAATAAAATATGCTTTCCTTTACATTCAGTATGGTTTCATGTAGGTTTTTGTCTCTTCAGATAGCAACATAGTACTCTTTGATAGCACAAGACTTTCAAATTCATCTGTGAACTGCTTTGGGGAACCTTCAGAGAATACTGGATGCAACATCCGTCTCCAATACATAACGATATGGTTAGTGTTGCCTAGTGCTAAATTTAAGCTGTACTAAAATAGTATGTCTATATTCTTCAGTAGCATAGGGAATTTATTATAATTGTGCAAGAGTGTTTCAGATTAATATTAGTCTTGCAGTTAAAAAATAAATCCTTATTTCATATTGCATATGCAGAGCACAGTATGGACAAAAGGACTGATTGACCCACCTGACTTGCCCCCCCCATTTTTTTTTTGAAAAAAAAAAAAAAAAAAAAAAAAGATAAAGAGATCTGGGGAACTACAGGCCAGTCATTCTCATCACTGTGCCTGGCAAAATCATGGAACGGATCTTCCTGGAAACTGAGCTAAAGTACACTGAGAACAGAGAGATGATTGGTGACATGAAGCCAACATAGCTTCACTAAAGACAAAGCAACGCTATGGAGAAGGATTTAAGGGTTCTGGTAGATGAAAAACTGAGTATGAGCCAGCAGTGTGCACCTGCAGACCAGAAAGCCAACCACCTGAACTGCATCAAAAGCATGACCAGCGGGTTGAGGGAGGTGATTATCCCTCTCTACTCTGCTCTTGTGAGTCATTAATGACCCATGAAAAGGGTCGTTATCTTTTCTTACTTGTCATTGTTGCCTTGGTCTCTTTCCAAAGGTTTAAGTCAAGGAAAAATGTTATTTTGGTTATTTTATCATATGTAGATTTGCCCTATACCTTTAAAGTTTCCACTTGCCTTTTTACAACTGCAATAGAAGTAGCATTGTTTACCACTATATCAGGACCAAGTTGAAGTCAGACAATCCAGAGCTCCACCCACTGAAGTGATAGCGAAGTTGTATCTGTGCAATTTGGAAAGCAAGCAATAAAGCGTTTAATTTTTGAAAACCAGATAATTGTAATTGTCCACTGTAATTATAAAGCTGGTGAAAGGAAGATTCAAGGCACTTTGCCATTACGGAAAAAACTGCTAGAGATGTCTTTCTGATGCTTTTGATTTACAAGTAGTTATGGTCTGAGGCAAGAAAGATTCATAGCATAGGACACTGTAGCTACACTGTATCAAAACTATATTGAATATTTGTCCTCAAATTTCCCATTCACCTCAGTTAACACGCTGCCATTTCTGGTTCCTGGTGGGTTGTGGGACAGAAAACAGTATTCTGCTCTCTGACATAATCTTTAGGAAACAGCCAGACTGCTGTCACTTGTGGTGACCTCACAGTTCCCTTGTACTTGCTCTTGCTTGAATCTTTAAGTGCTTTGGGCAAATACTACATTATGTACTTGTGGAGCATGAAGGTTATGCAGGTACGTGTATGTTGGTTATGCCTCTGTGGATTCCTAAATGCTCACTGGGCCTGCTTTTTCTGGGACTGCAGCAACTACATGTAGGTAATAGTGCTTCTTGAACTCCTGTAATTTGCTGGTGAGTAGGGAAGGGAGTGAAGAGGAGTGATTGCTTTACCTGGGATTTTTTTACTTTATTATTTGCCATAATTTTTCACCTATTAATAATCATATATGCCATAAAACTAATCAAATATTTAAATTGAAATCTGAAAACCTCTTCAATTTTAGATGTTTTTCAGTAATTAATTCCATAGGTTAGCAAGTACAACGTTTTAAAACTCCAGTGTTTTAGGAACAACTTTTGGTTGTTGCAACAAAAGGAGCTAAATTCACTTTTTCTTATTTCCGGATAAAGAGGAATTCATTTGCATATTATATAAGAATTTAACAGCATCTCCCTTTGTATTTTTAATAGCACAAGATGAAATGCAATGTGGCTCTACAGCATTCACTCTGTTAATTTTCGTATTTGCATTTCCCAAAACTTTTTTTATAGCTATTCAACTTTTTTTTTAATAGCATATAAACAGCATTTTTATTATTGTTATTTTCCTTTCAATAACATTTAAATTACTTTGAAAATTTAATGTTATAGACAATTTAGCTACCTGATCTCCATCTCTTCCTTTTAGCAGGTTATTGCTCATGAATGTGTATTATTTACCTTTTATTTATTACTCAAGATTGATCTATGCTGAAAATTTCAAAATAAAATTTGAAATTTTATGCCTAAATCTACAGTAAGTTAAAAAACAGCATATGTATAGAACAGGTCTTACAGATGTGAGAATAGTGGTAGACTTACATGTACATGTTTTACTGAGTCCAACTTGTAAAAGCTGAGGAAAGAACTGTGATTGTAATACAACTAAAACACACTAGAAAAAAATCACCAGAGGCAAGGCTTCTCTCGTCCCCATGGCTGAGATAACTTAAATCTAGATTGTATTCTTATCTTAATCCTGGGTTTGCTTGAACAGTCCCATCACTGGATGCTAACAGTTTTGATCCCAAGCTGAGCAAAAAGAACTCTAGAATCAACCTGTCTGGAAGTAGGAGCTTATTGTTGCTTCCTGATTAATATGCCAGAAGGCCTGTGTGACATTTCTACGGAATGCCTCTGTGCTCTTGGGACTTGATGATTCAGTGCAGAGCTGTTGGGAAATTCTACAAAACTTCAGCCCGCCTCACTTCTCAAATGGTCTCCTTTCACCAGTCTGTCAAGCTAAACTAAAAATAATTACTTTGTGTGCAATAATAAGGGGAAGGATGAAAATTTTGCAGCACAGCATGTGCTGTGCAGCTCACTAGAAAGTGGAAACTGCATTTTCAAAGGGCAGCACAAAATGTATCACCCATGGTTAATATTTTTTTTTCCTACAGTTATAAAAAAATAATTTTAAAGTAGTTGCAACCCTTACAAATTTTGATGAGCAACACCCAAGCTAAAGGAGCATGCAATTAAGATCTCTACCAGGTCAGTTTGATGAAATTTGTTCCTTCTGATAGTCCTGTGAAAGAACAGAGATCAAGGAAATACTGTATTTAAAACAGTAACAGGTAAAACACATATGAAAGAATTGGAAGTCTCATTAGGACTATAAGAACACAGATTAATTTTGTTCTTCAAAATACTGCACAATTTGGGAAACTAGCCTGAGTCAATCACCACAAAGTAAGTGGTATTCAGTTGAAAAGACCAACATGAAACGTCTCATCATACCTCCCCACTAACCTGTTCTGTGCATATGTGATTCTGCTACAAGTCAGTCACCTTCCAATTAACAGTAAAACAGAATAGGGACAAAGACAAAAGACATAATGGGATCTCCGGGTAAGCAGCAAAGACCATACAAACATTCTTCCCAAATGAGATTTATTATTATTATTATTTTTAAACAACAGATATAAACCTATTTATTAAAGTAACTAGAGTGGAGGGGAGCCAAAGTCATTTGCCTGTGTTGAACGCAGAGAAGAAACTGACAGCATCTACTGCAGGGAAAAGGCCAGCAGTATCCTCAAAGAGACTGTGGAAGACATGGTACTTTTGTTTAAATTTTAGTCACAGAGCAAGCACCTACCACATTAAAGTAAAATTTCTGTAAATACTGGGATAAATGCATTTTATGCATACTTGACATGATATGGAATTATATACTTTAAGATCCCTCACAGTCAATTTCAAAAGGAAAGTAACAGAGCAATACTTATTTTTATGGAGAACTTTTATCACATTTAATTGTGTCTCAGAAAATTAAAAATCTAGATATAGCACTTATGTTGAGAAAGACCTACAAATATAAGAGAAGTGTGGTTGAAAAATTATTGAGTAGAATATCTTAAAAACCTAATACATTTCAGAGTCATTAGTGAATCATATATCAAATCCACAAATAATGCGGGCTGAGATGCAGTGTAAAAGCTGTTGAACATAGGTACAAAAAACAAGGAAATCTACTATATCTAACAGCTAAATTCATTTTGATTTCAGGCATGCAGGATCACATCAGAGAGCTAAAGGAAAATCAAGGCAAGAATTGAATTGTAACAAGCAAAAAGAAAAAAAAAAGAAACAAGTTGAAAGTACTGTTCTCACTAGAAGAAATAATGTTTTTAATGACATGGAAAGAACAGCAAAAAACTGTTAAATCCATATTTGACATGCGTCACAGCAGCAACAAAAGATCACTGTATGTGGTTTTCCTTCGCATAATCTCACACACAAGGAAATGGGCATTCTACTTTTAAGGAGACTGTTTGTTACTGAACAGTTCTGCACAAAAAAGGATTCAGTCAGAATGCTCAAAATTCAAATGAGATTTTATGAGAAGACTTTTAAAAGACTAGTCATATAAAGCTTACTAAAATACCATCTTCTATATCTACAAATTCATCTGAGATGCATGGCTCCCCAGTACTACAAGAATAAGAGTGTCAATCTAGGATTAAATGAATATTTAATCTAACCTATATATTCAGTTATTTCCTTCTTCTTATACTTTGAGTAGTTCTAAACAGGCCAGCTGCTGTTTGTTTGTTATTCATAGTTTCTGTTTGTGCTTAACAACTTCCTTTGAGTTGCTTATTCAGGGTGGGTGTTTTCTTCTACCACAGACGTGAATATGTGTGCAATGACTTTCCTCAACTAATGTATGTCCCTCTTAAATCATTTACTTGATTTCACCTACATGCTGATTGGTAACACCTTTCCCTGCTTCTGGCTTTTGCTCTTTTGCTGCATGGAAGTTTACCATAAATCCTGGCATACAGGTTAGCTCATTTTCTGAAAATGAACTGAATTACCTTGATGGGACAGTTTCTCCTACTTCACTGCTAGAACATATTTTTTAATGAATTCTGTAGAAATAAATTAAAGTTATGATTTTTTTTTCTCTCTCCTGCAAGCTGAGTACTGGCAGCTTTTGCAGTGTTGTTAACTATGATGATTGCAGAAGCTCCATAGCAACAACATGTTTGCATTCCTACAGGAATCATATTGCTCCTCTACCGTCTATCAGAAAAAGCATTTTAATATGTCTAATCACAGTTATTTAGTTTATGTACTGAAGGATTTATTCTCATTAAGATATTAAAGTTTTAACTAAAAAGCTGTGTTTGTTTCAGATTTCACTGTTCCAGCTTTATTGGAGCTTAGAACAGTATTTCTCCGATGCTAAGTAATTGGAAGTTTTGACCTCCTTCACCTTCATTTCACTAACACACGAACATGCACAAGAACTGCTTTGATGGCTTAAACAGGTATTCCCTGAAACAATTCTTCATCTCTTCTGCAGAATCTCTGATTCTTTTCTTTATATGTACCCATTTCAAAAGGGCCTTTACTCATTTAATGCAATCCAAGAAAACCTTCTCATGAAGCACATACAACCAAACCAAACGAGAAAAAGCAGCCAAATGGCCAGACACAATTATATGAAACATAACAATTAATAAATTGAATATATACATTTAAGGCTGAAAAGAGAACATGTATATATATATTCTTATACCCCTGATAATACCACTTATAACCAGTGGATTAAGAACTTCTAAAATGAAACTTAGCATTTCATTTGTCATCACCTGTAGCATGGTCCAGTACAAAGGTCTGGTTTTACACGTCAAATCAAATGGCAGAAGCGCAAGTACATCATACTCAATTCCCTTCATTTATTTGTGTCCTTGCTTTCACATTGATCTTTTGCATAGCCCAGTGACATTAGTGATTCAGAAAATTCTAATAGTTTCTTGATACTTGTAAGCAGACAGATTATCCCCTCTCCATCAAGTAGAAAAGAGCATGCCTACTCAGGACAGGTATTTGTACTCTCACCAGGATGAACATTCCTGACCAGATGATAATCTCTGGGATCCATAAAGATTACTTCCATTTCTGCGCTAGCAGAATAAGATGCCTTCCAATCATCTCTAAACTGTTACCTACAACTCTGAAGTTCAGTAGTGCTTTACATTTGAGCCCACAAGCGCAGAAGAGAACACAGAAATTCAAGAGCTACCAGTGTTCTAACAAATACAGTAGACGGAATGCAATTCAGAATCCAAACCAGTGCAGCTCATTAACTGCATCTGTAATCATTGTGTATAGGTCATGGTGTTATACCATATTTAAGTGTACAACGAATACATGAATAATACACTTGTTCTCTGGGAAAAGTGTGGATATGAAATGTCACAGACACAAAGAGCAAAATAAACAAATTTTGCATATGCCCAGAAATAGAGGCAAACACCACCTATTTATTGCATACACATTTCAGCTTCTAGATGATAGGGTTGGGAATGTCAACTTTGAGCTGACTAAAACAGAAGCAGCAGCATATTTGCCTACTTCATAAAGATATCCATGCAGGCAGAAGGCTAGTAGGTCTGACATTAATAATACAGTCAAGGAAAAAACAACAGCAAGAAGGGAAAGGATCCACTTACACACAGTCCCAAAGAAAACGTGTGTGTATGTGTGTGTTTGTATGTGTTGGAGGTATGGGGGAGCAGGCTGGCTGAATTTCAGCTGAAAATGAGACTTGGTTACTGCTGTTATTAAGTTCCAGCTGCAGACCACAGTCCCTCAGCTCAAAACCTCAGTACTACCCAAAGCATCAAGTAGAAAGATGCCAGTAGAACCCTGCTAACTGAATTCCTCTCTTATCCCAGTCACTGTAACTGCTAGCCCTGTCTGCCCACTTTATACACTACCACAGCTGGTAGAGGACAAACTATTCATTTCACATGCCTTCTGTGCCTGTTTTTGTTTGTTTGTTTGTTTGTTTTTAGCACCACAGGCATTTCAGTAAGTTGGTTGAGTTCTTGCCACCTGTACTGTAGGACTGCAACTTCCTCACCAGTCTAATATTTCATACGTAGGTGTTCAAACTATGTAGTGTTTGACTAATAATTCATGCTTCTGCACAGGCTCTGCACATAATATTCACCACTCTCTAACTTTGTACGTAAGAACGCCCCCCAAGTCCCTCCTGAAGTTATTTGCAGTTGCAATGTAGGTGGGTCTCTTAGCCCAAGTAATCAAGCAATAGTACTTGATTCTACTGTGGGCAAAAAGGCCACTCAACATATATAGTTATGTTTTGAACCCAAGTCCTCAGTTAACAGATGGAAAGTGGACACAATTATTGACAGGCAACTTATAAATGAGGAAACAAAGCCAGGACAAACTGGATTGTTAAGAATTGCCTTGATTTTTAGATGGCAGAAATAGTAGGGCTTTATATCAATTTTCATATCTTCATTCAACAATGGAGAAGGCATAAAACTAAACACAAATGAAGGGCACGGAGATAAATTAAAACAATTTAGGGCAACAGTTTGAGAACATAACGAAACATAAGCCTTTTAAAGAAAATATCCACAAGCATAAGAAGAAGAAATCAGGGGTAGAGAAAAAAGATACTATGTAAGCTTAGTAGCAAAGAACAAAAAGTCATACCTGCAATTCATAAATCTATAACCTATTCTAATAACAGGCAGAGATTTCAATTAATATTTCCCCAAACATTTATTAAAACATTTGTCTAACAATGACACCATATACTTGTACTCAGTTATGCTTGGAACACCAATATCAATAAGCAAGATCCAAAATTTAGCCTTTGATGATGCCTTTTTGTCTTGTCAGCTACAACAGTCTCCAGAAAATTGATAAAGCCAGAACAAATACAATATAATGAGCTGTTGTGAAGGCTCAACAGAAGGGGTTCAGCTGTTCTGAACCCCAATAGAAGTGCTGAGTTGACAGATTCATGACCCTTATGCCAGAGAGGGGGACTTGGCTGGGAAAGCTGCTTCTATTGGAATAACCAAATGGTCACCTAGTTGCCACCCCGTGGAATGAAAGCACAACCACAATTAAAAAACTTGTACCATGCTCTGTGAGGAGAAGGAAGGAAAACAACAGGTCCTGTGAAATAGGAAAAGTGAAAGCAAAAGAGAAAGATATCGAGAATATAATAGATGATTTTCTTTAATATATATATATATATATACACATATATATATATATTTAACAAGAGAGAATTTCTTTAAAAAGCAAACAAACAAACAAACAAAAAAAAACGTGAAAGAGTCCAGGTAACAGAGCAAGCACAACACAAGACTCTGATGCCTTACAGTTTCTACATTTAAGTCATTGTACTGCAACATGTAAGCAAACTTTTCACAACTTTACAAAAAATTAATGATGGAATTCAAACATCAGTGCCTCCCCCCAAAACCAAGAAACCAGGCATTAAACACCACGATGCCTTAAAGCACAGGTAAAAAGATAACAATGTCAGGAACAGGTTTTTCCAACACGTATCATTTCCACACTGCCTGCTGGCCATCACATGGAGTGAGCAGTACCAGAGGCAGAAGACTGAACTAGAAGAACCAATTCAGTTTGGCTGGACATCCCCCCCTCTCCCTTCCCCTCTTCCAGAGTAATGGCCTTAGATCACCATAGTGACTCCGCTGATTAGCTACAGTATTCCTGGGGCAAATACAGAAGTAAGAAGAGCTGACTTTTACAAAAGTTGGCTTTTAAATTAAACTTGGATTCTATTTATTTCAGGCTCTTCACAATTAGTGAGTGATAACTGCAATGCTGTAATTTCCATTCAGTTTCTAGATTCCCCAACAATACCTAGGAAAAAGAGAAAGCTTTAAAAACTCAGATTTGGCTTTGACTAAACTCATATCCAATACATTTTCCTATAAAAGTTACACTGAGTGTTGCTAGTATAGAGTATTTAAATTATCTCTATGCTGGCATAGAAAGCCACTTGCTACATACAAGATTTAGTCATGAGAGCCCATTCTCACTTCCTTCAATAATATATTTATATTGATTGTAAACAGTCTTTAAATTGTTACAGCTTCCTCCAATGCTATACAGGCTCTTGGGGTCTGCACTGCTTCAAGGCAATTCATAATACATAGCTGAAACTTAGCACTGGCCTGAAGGTGCTACATCATTTAACTCTGATCTTATGATGGAAAAATCAAACAGAAACATACCAAATCTATGTTACATGTTTGACAACAAAAAGTCTTTAACCATGATGTTCTAACCTTTTCCTCTTTCCTACAGTAACTTCCTGATGTCTTTGACCTTTCTTCAGCAGACGAGACCTCTTTCTTAATATCACAAGGAATTGCGGGCAGTCTTGCTATGCACCTAGGATTTCTATATATTTCGAGATGGAATATCAAACATTCTATGTACCTCCTGCTTCTTCCTGTACAACCCACTGGTGTATAAGCCATTGGGAGCAGTTAGGTGGCATCTTCAAACTTGCTGAGGGTACACTCTGCCCCATCACCCAGATCATTAATGAGGAAATTATTAGAACTGGACTCAGTATTGTCCCTAGGATACTCCACTTGTTACTTGCCTCCAACTAGATTTTGTACCAATTGCCATCCTCTGGGCTTGGTCACTCAGCCAGTTTTCAATCCACCTCACCATCTGCTGATCCAGGTCATTGTACATCAGCTTTTCTATGAGGATCTTAAGGGAGACACTGCCAAAATCCCTTGTATTCATAAGATCCTATGTGGTTAATAAATAAAAAAGTCAGTATTTTCCCTGAAATACTTGCACTATCAGTTAGTTCGTTGTCTTAAAAGAAAAAAGCCTATCAATTCTTCAGAGTACTACCTCTCTCTGTTGCCATGGTCACAAGTTACCATAGTAACCATTAGATTCATCTGTATTTTTAGATTAAAGTTGGTTCTATTTTCACAGAACATAGATCCAATTGATAGAAACAACACATTCTTACCAGGAAATTCTACAGGAAATACTACAGAATTCGAAGTACAATTTAAGGCAACACTACTGAAATACGCACACACAAAAATTGTTTAATTGCAAAAGCAGCAAAATTAGCCACAAACACTACCATTTACAGGGCTGCTTCATGCAGCTAGAAAATTGTTTGGACAGACATTGAAAAGATTTTAAGGCAATTATTCTCTAAAGGTGTTGGCTCAGTAAGCCACACTAGAAAATATTTAAATTGAAAAGCCCAGTAAGCTTAAATGGCCTTTTTGAATAGGGGCTAACTGCAGTAACACTTTACATTTCTCCACTAGAGCCCCGTTTGTTGGTTTGTGTTTGTTTTTGAAGTTTTCCTCCTCTCTCTCTAAGTGGGATGTTCACTCTCAAACAGAGGAAATATAAACATTCAACCAGTCACAATTCACCTATTATCAGACAAGTCTCTGCTCTCTCACTTTCAGTCATTTTTATGTTGTATTATACCCTCTGGTGGACAAAAAGCAATTCACAACTGTGAATTAAGTACCTTTAGATCAGCACTATGCTAACTGGAACTTCATCATGAAAATGTTGAATCAGAAACAAGCATTATTATGTAGTCTTTAGTTTGTTCACTTCAAGGAAGGTCTTTCAGCGACCTTTGCCTGGCTAGATCTGACTCAGCTTTTCCATGTTCTCTCATTCAACCAATGTTAGCTCATATATAGCTTGGCATGCCATTTAGATGTGAATTCAAAATAGAAGTTTAATGTATCTCTATGTGACAATCACTACATTTCAGAAGTAATATAAACAGAGGAATCACAAGTGAGGAGTCCATCAGCTCAGTTCCCCAAAAGACAGCAGCATGAATACAAAATTAGATTTGAGGATCTGTACAGTTTATTTCTAATTTTAGAAAGTCATCAAAAAATTTCAACTTGCTTTCTTTTTGGTAAGTCACTAAGCATCACTTAAGATAAAAACTTAGTTTCCTTAACTATAAAACTTACATAACCTGTAAAATCTGGAACTATGTGAAGCAATTGTAGTACAGGTTATCAAAGAAAGACAATACATACATTGCTGATAATTTTTCCATTTATTAACTGAATCCTGCTATTTTTTGTTGTTTTTCTGATTGTAAACTGACTAGTTTAATTCCCTATTGAAAATCCTTGCAGACTTTTGTTATCATTCTTCAGGGTAAGCTGCTACAGTTCTCTTAGTTTTATCTTTACGCAATCACTTTTCTGACTCTGTAATATTCCAATAGAATCCTCTATTTCTATGCTTTCCTACTGAGATGTAGCATTAACTCAAGATTCCTGCTAAGGCTTGGCAGCATAGCATCGTGGGTGCAGACGTGCACTGTGAACAGAAGTTTGCTTTACAGCACTCTGCAGCATTGCCTACACCTCTGCTCCTGAAAGCTCTAAGAATCACTTGACATCAACTAGTGTGAGCAAGAAATTAAAAGTATTCTCTCAACTAAGTCCTCTCTGATCTCCTTTTGGCTAGACTCCTCTTGTGTTCCACAAAATTTGATCTATTTTTGACATTTTTGCTCTGCTTGCACTGGGAATTTTGGAAAATTTAGAGTTGAGAGCACTTGCACTCTAATGAAAACTGATCTACAATATTCACACACTTAGAAATCAAGTGCACGTACAGGCAAGACACTATTCAAAAAGGTGATATTCAGTAAAATAGTAACTTCATCTGGCAAGATATTGTTAAATAACTAAACATTTATTTGAAAGAGGTGGTTGTACTAGCTTTCATTCACGCCTGAAAGCCAGTAATTTGATAGGGAGTAATCATTCTGTTCTTACAGTCCTGACAGCTTTCTCTAGAAAGTTTTAACACAGAATTAAGTTGTGCATCCTTTAGTCTAACTTGCCTCCTCTGAAGCGTGTCACCTAGGTAGCAAAAAATCTTTAGTGTTCATTTATGTATTTCTGATACCCACTAACAGGAATACAGATACTACAAACCAGTTACACTTGTCAATTCTTCTACATGGTGAGACAAAAACCCTCATTACGTTGTACAAGTTACAAACAAATAAGATAAAAAAAACCTACATAAGCAAAAGTTCTTTTTACTGTATATTTCACTCCATTTTTCAATGCATTTTGAACACACACACACACAATTGGCGTGCCAAAGGGGCGTTTCCAACAAAGCTCCAAGAAAAATACTCACCTCCCACCCCTGGCAGTATAGGCATACTTTAGACCCATCTCCTGTGTGGCAATACAATATTTTGTCCAAACTCTGGATAGTAAGCAGAAAGCTCATCTTCCCCTACTGTTCCCAAAGCAATAAAAATATGTAGAAAGACTGTTGTTGTTTTTTTGTTTGTTTTTGTTTGGTTGGTTGAATATGTGGAGGGGAGTGTTTCTTTAGAGATAATGAAATTGTCCATCTTGTTTGAACCCATATAGTGTAGATACCTATACATGGCTTATTTACATGGAAGTGTCAGGCTAACCTTCTTGGACAAGAAACAAGGTAAATCAGCAGGTTGAATTCTGCTGCAGGTTGACTACTTCATGCTGGTACTAACTTATGTGAACCCAAGCAATTATTCCTACAATACTGCAACGAATCATACTCTGACAGTACTGCCTATGGTTATATGCTTGTCATTCAGCTCAGCTGGCCTCCTGCAAAGACAATGACTAAATTTCCCATCTTTGATGAGTCAGTATAGCAATGCATTTTGACTGTTTCTGCAGATATTTTTGATACAGTCTCAGTTGCATATTATAGAAGCCTCGGGCTCAGTCATTAGGAGTACAGTCATTTTTGTAGCCCTCCACTAACGTTACCTCTAACGTTATTTGGTTAAATGCAGAATGCTCCTGTCCAAAGGGTGTGTGGTGCAGTAAGCCTATTTAAAGTGAGAATGTGCTGCAAGAGAAGGCAAATGCATCACACTATGCTACTGGTAACAGTTGCTCTTAAAAGTTTTTTTTTGTTTGTTTGTTTTTTAAATGTCTCCATAGTAGGCAAAATGGAGGTAGTCCTCTGCTTAATAAAAGAAAACATAAGAAATATAGCCAGGTAATGAAAAGATAGGAGCTGAGAAACAGAGCAAGGAGGTAATGGTTTACTTGCAAAGGGGTTAGAGAAATTTTTTTAGGAGAAGCAGCACCTTGAAATGTAAATTTACCTGCAAAACTGCAGGAGAAAGTGTTTGCCACTGTTTCTCTTCATTTCATATTATTTTGATTCCTTGCATTAGCAGTTCTGGCATTGAGCGTTGGGATTCTACAGATAACTGGCATATGAGTGTAACAAAGTCCAGCATTTAGTTCATCCAAAAATGCAGACTTTGTGCGTGCATCCAATTTCACAGATTTATCTGTCCCCTGGAGCTCCCTGCTGGTGCTTCCTCAGCATAACACATCTATTAGAAAATGCTGTGAGATGCCTAGTTCATCAGATCCTCCCCACAGATCAGCTGACCACTGAGGAAAAATTCAAACTTTATTGTTCTGAAGTGATGAAAGGTCCAAGAATAAGTGCATGTAGGTCAAGCCCAGTTTAGAAAGGTAAGACAGAGACAGAAGTTCCGTAAAAGAACAACCAAGCTCTAATCTGTAGGGTGCAGAGTTCAAGTATAGCTTGAGGCTCAGAAAAAGTCAAGAGTATTTCCTGGACAACTTTGTACTGTACATAGCCCGTTTTCCACCCTACCCTGTCTCACAGGACAAGTTCTTAGCTCCTGTGGAAATTTACTGTCTTCATTTACCATTAAAAGCAATTGTTCTCAAAAGTTACTCTGCACACCTCTTTAGATCTCTTCTGAAGCCTACAGGCTTCAAAACAAAACCTAGAAATAACATAAAACTGAGTTATGTTTACAGCATCTTCTAATAGTGCCAAAATCAAGATGAAAGGTAACCAGGAATCCTTTTTCCTCAGTTAACACTAAAGCACAGCCCCATACAGTACAGCGTATGTATTTATACATATACCAGGTCTTAAACATTACATTCAATAGGCTCCAGACCACATATAACAGGAACTCCTGGGCAACCAGCTCTAGGTAGCCCTGCTTGAGTAGAACAATGGGACCAGATGAGCTGCAGAGATCCTCTTCCAATCTCAAACATTCTATGAAATCACATAGCTTCAGAATATCTTTCCACACATTTGGCTTTACACGGCAACTCAGAGAGCAGCACAAGATGATTCAGCCTGGTGCCAAGTTACAAATTCATAATGGGTCAAGCAAGAAAGTCTATAATACTGAACAGTTACAAAGAGCAATGTGATTCAGCATCTCCCCAGGAAGTTGCAGAGTCATGTGGCAATACAATGTCCCCATCAGAAAGAAGGCCATTTTTTCCCCCTTTTTCCAGATTTGTGTCTTAGGCAATAACCCATACTTTCCAGCATTGCATGCAGGTTTGGAAGACAGATAGGAAAACAGCTCAATTCAACAGCTGTTCTCAAGCATACCTTGCCACTTCACAGTTAACAAACAAGTCTCCTCAACACAATGCTCTGTGCAGCCAGAGAACCAGCAGTGTGTTCTATAATCATCCCACTTTCCTCCTAAGGCACATATCTCCTGCTGATTAAGATGGCAAAGGAGAAGTAAAACTCAAAAGTATTGATTTCAATACTTCTGAAATTCAGTACTTTTGAAATTCAGGGTTCTGTAGAAATCTTTTTGTGTTTCTATTTGTGCCTGGGCATATTAGGAAAGGGGTATAAATGCTTACTGAACACAGTGGGTTCTACTGCTAGGTATGGATTTAGCCATTTGCTTCACTGCACAATCAAGCTCATAGAAAATACTAGATGGAAACTACATTCCAGCATTTCCTGCTGAAAACACGGAACAGCTGATAGAAGCATTTTACCAAAACAGCACATTCAGCATTCTCATTATCAAGAGAATTTCTATGCAAGACCATGCCATCCAAAGCAGAACTACATCTAGGAACTCACTGAGAGATCACATGGGTGGTGGCAGATTTGCAGAGGCTTTGATCAAGCAGAGCAAAATATAACGGTCACATTTGTACTAGAAGAAAATCATGTCCATACTAAGACATTTTCTTGCTCTAGGTAAGTTCTGCTCCCTGACATCATCAGCTTCATATCACCCTCAATGGAGTCCATGACTACTCCACACTCTCTTATAACAAAAGTCATTTAATTTCCCTGTACAAGAAGTCAGGGCAAGACTGATCCATTCTTACCCACAGGCTACTGACATCAAGCATCAATGCTGAGTAAAAGATACTTAGTACAGGGTCTAGTTCAGGAGAACAAAAGCAAATCAAAATCCCAAAATTGAGTCTTCAAAAATTCTTCTTATGCTTCAAAGCAGGAGTTCCTGCAAATGACCTGATTCTAGAAAGCATTCTGGAAAGTCACTGTATGAAAATTGAGTAATCCAAGACTATCACAGTACATGCACAAGGAAAAGGCAGGAATATCAGTATAAGGACAGACTAACCCATCCTTGGCCTCCAAATCAAGCCCCTCACAATGAATTAGATAATTAATTTGCTACAGAGATTTTTAGTTTAAAAAGCAAAAAAAAAAAAAAAAAAAAAAAAAGTCCAGAAATGTGGTCACGGAAGTACTTAGTGTATAAAGAAATAAAGAATAATGGTTTTGTCTTGTTCAATACAGTAAAGTCTAGTAAGCAGTTTCTCACAACTGAATCTTTCACATATTCAGCAAAGATTTTTGTTCCTCATGGAGAGAGGAATTTCCATTGGAAACAGGAAGAATTCTTGCCTTGGTACATGCCTTTGCATGTACTAGCAAGACATGTATACAATGATTGTTAATGAACTAAAAAAAAATACAAAACTTCTTTTTTGTTTGTTTTAAACACAAATCTCAAAGTCAGATCAAAGGTTTTCTACTGGATCCTGGGTAAGGACTTGTGGATACTTTAGGACAAATATTTCTGATACGGTTGGTCAAGATTTAAAATTTTAAAAGCTACAAATAAAAGTAAAAACAACTTAATTTGTTTCCACCCAAAAATGAAATAATTCATAAGTTTGCCACCAAGACAATGGGAAACAATAAAAATTTCAGTCCCAGTCTTAAACATTATAAACTTCTGAAGTATGACTTTTTAGGACAGAAATATTTGTGAAATCTTACTTGCAGTTGGGCTTCTATACATTGTCAACAAAATACTCAGCTTTGTGAAAAACCCACTGCAATGCTGTCAGAACTGTAATAGCTAGAGACATGAGAAAACATGAGTGTCTGCACCTAGAGCTGTAGTTTCAGTAAAGATTAAAACCACCAAGTATTCATTCCGACAGTCATGTCCATAAGGGTACTCCCGCACTAAAAGTTTCCACAACAAGAACTCTACTTGTTTCCCATGGGTGTGCGTACAAGGGATCTCCCCTTACCAATACTCAATGTATTAGAATCTATGGCACACATGAAAATTTCCTCTGCAGTTTCACTCCCACAATACATATTCCACATACAATGTGCTTCTGTCCCAAATGTTGCATATTGCTCAGGTCTCAGGGCATTGATAAACAAGGCTAATGGTCACAGAGAGAAAACATGTGCAAGGGCTGGAGTAGGACAAAGCAAGAAGATTGATAAAGTACAATAGTGTTCACTGGTCCCTGCAATTTATAATCCATAAATGGAATCCTAGAACTAGTGAAGTTCATACATCAGGCTCAGTTCCTGTGCCCTGAGGAATGGATCTCCTAAAGCTAAGAGACAAGGGCTTCTGAAATTCTCAAGTACACTTGCAGACTAATGAGCCAGATTTTCCCCAGAAATCTTCTAGAATGAAAGAATTTGTCTGTATTAAAAAGCACCATGATGACATGGAGTTACACAATTAAATGGCAAAGTAACGTTCTCCCTGCCTTTACCCACTACACAGGACTCCTCTCACTGTCATGCTCTTACAGGAATCAAAGTAAACAACAGAACCTGAAATAAAAAGCAGCTTCAAAAGCAACCAAAATCTTATGGATGAGCAACTTTCCTTCTCAATAGTTACTTCCTCTGGATATCTCTATCTACTCTTTCACATGTGCATATAACAGCACATTTTCTTCATAACTCAGCTTTTCAATTTCCTCAATTAACCTTCCAGAAAAAAAAATAAAATAAAACCCAATCTCTTCATTTTCCAGTACTAGGAACTAGAATCTGGCACACTCCTCCCATGAGCCAGTCCTTTATGTTCAAAAGCATTCAACAGTCACCTTCTGAAAGGGGAAGGACATAACAGCTATGGTCCATTTTTAAAAAGGGTGAATTGTTGTGGGCACTTCTAACAACACACAGCTGCAGAAGGATACTCAGAGCAAGATAAGATATTCTAGGGAACCACCCACCTCTGTGGAACTCCAGTGTCTAATTATTTTTCCAGCTTCTGTTCAACAGGTGTCTCTAACCCTAGCCTGTTCTCCCAGTAAAGATTCTTCCCAACTAGGATTATACAGAGGGAATTCCAAAGCAACAGGTTATGTACAGACATAGTGTTCCCTCCAAGAGAGGAATGAAAAGGAGTAAATTCCTGAGGATATGTATCCTCTGATCCATGTTCTGAATCCCAGCCTCCCCCTTGCCTTGGAATGAGCTCTACTAAGCAGCATCTGTTATGTACATCAATCTCAGCTCCCTTCCTTTGGAAGAGTTTCCACTCAAAAGTGACAGGCAAATCCTAGGACAGAGATAGGTGCTGGGGAGGGAAGGTCTCCTTAGGATGACTCGCCAGAAGCAAGAGATCCTGCAGCTTTCTTCCTAGGGCGGGCTTTCACACTTTTTACTGGAAGCTGAGGAGAAAGAAATAGAGGCATTTTATGTTAGTTTACTGTAGCACCTAAATGTCAAACAGAAAGAGATAAGGATGCAAAGTGAAAATAGGACAAAACAACTACAACACAATGACCCTATTTCTGTCACTCATCATTTCAAAGAGGCTATTTAAATACTCCATTTGTTTTTAGTTAACAAACAAATCACACTAAGCATATCCTTCAAATAGCAACCTGTAGTGGGTTTACGTGGCAAGGTTTTGGTAGTGGGAGGACCATAGGGGTGGATTCTGTGAGAAGAATCCAGAAGCTGCCCCATGTTAGATAAGGGCCCCGCCACTGGCCAGAGCTGAGCCAATAAGCAATGCTGTTTGTGCCTCTTTGAGAGCATATTTAAGAAAGGGGAAAAAAAATGCTGCTCAACAGCAGCTGGGAGAGAGAGGAATTAGAAACTGCCTTGCAGATACCAAGGCCAGTGAAGAAAGAGGGCAGGAGGTGCTCCAGGTGCTGGAGCAGAAGTTCCCCTGAGACCTGGGGAGAGGACCATAGTGGAGCAGGCTGTCCCCCTGCAGCCCATGGTGTACCATGGTGGTGCAGATTTCCATGCTGTAGGCTGTGGAGGAAAACACAGTGGAGCAGGTGGATCTGCTCTGAAGGAGGCTGTGGCCTGTGGAGGACTCCTGCCAGAGCAGTTTCTAGGCTGGACGTGTAGCCTGTGGAGAGGAGCCCACACAGGAGTAGGTGACCTGGCAGGAGCTGCCACCCATTGGGGACCCATGTTGGAGCAGTTTGCTCCTGACGGATGGACCCTGTGGTACAGACCCCTGTTTGGAGCAGTTTTTGAAGAGCTGCTGCCCATGGGAAGCCCATGCAGAATCAGTTCAGGAAAGACTGCATTCCGTAGGAGACCCCACATTGGAGCAGGGAAGAGAGTGAACGTGAAGACAAAGTCTTTAGCACTTTGTCGAAGACAAAGTGCTATAGACTGACCACAACCCTCCTTCCCCATTCCCCTGTGCCACTCAGGGAGAGGAGGTGGAAAGAGGGTGGATGGAGGGGAGGTGTTTTTGGTTTCTTTCCTTTGTTTCTCACTTCTCTAGCTTGCTAGTAAAATTTATTGCCTATTACTATCTCCCTCCTATGAGTCTCTCAACCCTTAAGCCCTTTGCATCATATATTTCTATATTCACAATAATCAGCATAGAGTCTTTACTGCCTTTTCAGAATTGAGTCACTTAAATTCCTCACTAGGAAGCTTGGAATAAAGTTTTATTCCTCTTGCCTCCCTGCCCCTGTCTACTATGCTAGAAAAGGAAGAAGGGTCAACACAAAAGTAACTTCAGGGGATTTAAAAGAGATCTAGGCTGATTTTGAACTAATCTTTAGACATACATGTTACAAAGAGTACCTATTCATATACAAAAGTGTCCTGGACACTGTAAAATCAGATTAACAGTATGAATTAACATGATGCTCTGAGCAAGCACTCTCCTCCAAATTATTTAATGTTTAGCCTGAAAAGCTCTACAATGTGATTTGTTAATACACCACCATATTAAATAAAAATTACATGTAAATAAAATCAGGAGTCCAAGTTGAACCAAGAAAAGAGAATCCCTACTTCTCAAAATGGAGAAGCATTTTATTATTTATAAATCAAACCAGACGAAATGTTGAAGTAAGAGTCAAAAACTAGAAGGCACTGTCTCAAAAAGCATATTCTACAAAACACACCAACAGCTGAAAAATTTCATTAATCTACAATATGTAATTTATTTTCATGTATAGTTTGTTTTAATATTGAGAATACAGACAATTCATGACAATCTGAATTGCTGTAAATATCTTGGATCAGCACATGGCCATGTGGTGTGGATAAACTCAACAATGACTAGTTATCTCTGGAGCTCCCAGCACAAGAATGATGTTGATCTATTAGAGTGGGTCCAGAGGAGGGCCACAAAGCTGATCAGACGTCTGAAGCACCTCTCCTACCAAGAAAGGCTGAGAGAGCTAGGACTGTTCAGCCTACAGAAGAGAAGGTTCCAGGGTAACCTCATTGCAACCTTTCAGTACTTAAAGTGGATTTATAAAAGTCCACAAATGGAGAGCAACTCTTTGCTCAATCAGATAATGACAGGACGAGGGGGGATGGTTTTAAACTAAAAGAGGGAAGATTTAGATTAGAGGGTAGCAGGAAATTCTTCACTCAGAAGGTGGTGAGGCACTGGAACAGGTTGCCCAGAGAAGCTGTGGATGCCCCATCCCTGGAGGTGTTCAAGACCAGGTTGGATGGGACCCTGAGCAATCTGATCTACTGGGTGGCATCCCTGCCTATGGCAGGGCGGTTGGAACTAGGTGATCTTTGAGGTCCCTTCCAATCCAAGCCATTCTGTGATTCTATGATCTAAACCTCAAGATGATGAAAACCTACAGAGGAGAAGAAAGGAGAATGTGCAGATAAATTTCTTCAAATCTAACATGCAGAAGAGTAGAAAGGTTTAAGAGGGAACAGAACAGCTGAATTTTAGATGAGGAGAAAGTTGCTGTTACAGGGATAAAGGTCACATAAATATTATATACTGTATATATAATATATACATACATATAGTATTATATACTGTAACAGACAAGAGGGAGAATCATAGAATCATTAAGGTTAGACCTCCAAGATCATCTGGTCCAACCATCCAAAGGATTGGAGGGCAGAGCCAACAGCAGACATTAAAAATACGTAGTGCCCCCACCCTTAAACACAAACCTAAATGAAAGCAAAGCTAGGACATGGCTTATGACAGAGGCTTACAGACAAAAACACAAAAGCAAGAGACCAGTATAGCATATAGACAGCAAGTCCTTTGATGTAGAACTCTAGCAGTAAACAGTCCAACAACATGTACATAAACAGCTTTTAAACACACAAAATACGAAGCCAGAGCCTTCTGACAAAATTCACAAATCAGTACCTGTGCTGGAAATAATTTACACACCAGCTTACCTCAGCTTTTGTCATCTTCTTGGTAGCTTTGAGGCTCTGAGTACGTTTTGGCAGTTTGTCTCCTGCATCTTCATCTGATGGGTCTGTTCTGGTTTCTGTCAAGGTTCCATTAGACCTCTGTGCCAAACTGCTCTCCTCTCCTGAGGAGTAACAGGAAGCTAAGGAATGAGAAAGTTTTTTCAAATACTTTTGAAAAGACACATCTAGATCTAAAATGTCTCATCCTTAAGGGCCACGCAGAAGGGAGACATCAACAGTATTTACGCATAATCCAAGAAATCCACATGTTAGTATATGGGAAAGGACTGGGAAAACAATACAACTTCTCCCTGATAATTTGCAATCTTGTAGTCCTTCTGAGACCCCTGCATGAAGCCCAGGGAGCCCTTCCTCGCCTGCTGGGTAACCATGCAAGGCCTCAAACAGTGGCCCAGCAGGGGTGTTCTGTACCTGAATCCTCAATGGTTTCAAGGAGGCTCGCTCCAGGGGGTTGCAGCTGTGGTTCATGGCTTCGCAAATGGACAGTATCTTCATCCCGGATAAGAGTGAGATCCTGCATGCTGAAACTTCGTAGCTTCTCAGACAAAACTCCTTGGCCCTAAGAGGACATAAAAATTATGGTGAAGGACACTTCATGCTCACCAAGATCATCCCACATGGGATCATTCAGAAGACAGAAGGTGCCCCATTCCTCACAAGGTTACTCTATGAAAAACAAAAATAAAAAAGCAACACCCACCACAGAGAGAAGGGAAAAAAGAAAAGTATGCTCCCAAGACCAACACAAAAGAGCAAAACCCATTCTCCCTTCACTTTCCATAAATCAAAGGATTAACTACAAACAAACTGAAGGAAAGCTAAAGTATATCATTCTGAACAGGCACCAGCATCCCTAACAGACCCATATCACTAATTGCTGGTACACAAAACTAAACTATTGGGGAATTCCTGAATGTTACAGAAGGTTAGATTGTGTTTGTAGTGCACAGGTGTTGCATTACCTTTGCAGCTGCAGTAACTGCTGCATTGGCAGCCAGGTTTAACCCTCTCTTGCCAACTCGCATCATGGTTTCATAGCTCTTGTCACGAGCCTGAGTAATGTATTCATCGATTTCCTAGAAAGGCAATGTGGAACGCAGCATTTAGCTTCTAGTTACAAACATGCTCAAAATCTCCCCCACTATCACCTTTAAAACCCATAGCTCATAAGGACACCTTTTTTTCCAGGCTGTCAGCACAAGCTGTGCTGCATTTTCTCTGCTACTTAGAGAATGCTTGCAAATGCAACCTTAAATTAAAGAATGTTTTCTCAAAATTGCAACAATTGAAATGAAGCAGTTGCTTATACCGAGAATGTGAAAAACACAGCCTGACTACAGAACATGCTGCTACTATCATGATTCAAAGAACTTAATTACTGATAGTGACTATAAAGGCTAAAGATACTGAGTTAAGCAAACATACTAAGCATTAGGCAAGATAGTGGCTACGTTACGGTCTGTGGTCGGCTGTGTACACAGCCCTTGTTGTCAGAGACATAAACATTCTATACCCACTAATGTCAGCACAATCATGATTCATGCATTTTAATTTTCACTGTAGCATAACTGAATCAGAATTCAGTCAACTTCCAGACAGATCAGTCTCTTCCAACAATAAGTGAGTACCTTCTCCTTATTGGAGAGCGTTGGGTGCACAAACTTCCTGTAGAGGACACTGGAGCCCTTGGTGTAAGGGGAGAGCAGCCAAATCACAAATGCGATTTTCAACTCAAAATAAAAAGGAAACCTGAGAGAAAGAGAGAAGGAGAGAGAGAGAGAGAAAGAGAGAGAGAGAGAGAAAGAACACGAGAACTAGAATCAAGATCAGCACAGAGACAGAGATAACCGTTAGAGAGCAGCACAGGCAAAAAGAGTAAAGAGAAGGTAAGGACTCAGAAACATAAATGAATCAATATATCAGGTCAGAATAGCACAATCCTCTCTGGAATCCTAGAACATACCTTCTTTGAGTCTCATTTAGTCTTTCATCCATAGCCATGAAAACTCCATAAACAGGGCATCTCTCAGCCCTGCAAACACACCAAATTAAAATCTGACAGCTACTCTCACCATTCTTAAGTTTGTTCAAAGACTATCCACTGGATAATAACATTACAGCCATTTCCCTCTCTTTTTCCAAAGTTTTTAATTAAATATCTCAAGAGAGCTCTCAAGTTGCTGCTAAGGCTGATAGCTAAGAGCAGGCAGCATGCAAGTCTTTCATTGCTATCCCTTACACAGTGAAGTCTCTGGGAAGGGAAAGTAGTAGAGACTCCAATAAGCAAATGTAAACTTTCTGATGCCTGTTAGTACTAAGAGACTTCTGTTTTCAGTGGTTCACTTTTAAGTAGGTGAATGAGCCAAAGCTCTTGTACTTTTTAGATCCTGACTCTTCAATTATTATTTTTTTCAGGAATAGGCAAAATAGCTGAGCACTTATGTAAGGTACACGCAACAATTTCATGTTTCTTTAAAAGATGCAACTCTGACTAGACTGTATTCTTTCAGAGATGTGTGCAAATCACAAACATTAAAGCAATGAAGAAACTGACCAAAAATTAAAGCATAGAAGAAACCCTGTTCTAATGGAACAGCTGAAGACACGTAATGACAATTTGTCATTGCTGATGGCCTCCATTTGATTATTGCTAAGTGTGACACAGCTCTGAGAGAATTAAAATCTGTTTTACCCCAACCCAACCCACATCCAGTAGTTGAAGACATTTTCATCATGCAAAACACCACTCAGAGCAGAGATGTATTTGATCTGCTCCTCTGTACAATGGGCTTGCAAAGCAAAACAGGTCATAGAATTATAGAATATTCAAGTTGGAAGAGACTCACAAGAATCATAAAGTCCAACTCCTGGGTCCCCAAAGGACCACACAATAAATAAAGAAATAGATAAGGCGTCTGAGAGTGTTGTCCAAACACTTCCTGATCTCTGACAGGCTTGGTGCCATGACCACTTCCCTAGGAGGATGAGGGAGCCTCATTCCAGTGCCTAACCACCCTCTCAGTGAAGAACATTTTCCTGATATCCAGCCTGAACCTCCCCTGGTCCTTTACCATCTTTTTAAAATGTCTTTTACATCATCATTTCTCAAACCTCTTTACCTAATAGCTTGTCAAAAATATATGCTATGAATGGATGAAGACCCTCTGACAGAGCCTGTGTATCTACATTTATCTTAACTGTCTGAAAGCACAGAATATGCATTCTCCTAAATGAGAGAGCTTATCCTTAGGAACCTACATTACCTTAAAAACATTTAAAAAACAAACAAACAAAAAACCCATGCACCAGCATGGTACTCACCAAGAAAGAACAATGTCTGTGAGTGTTTCTGCAGTGGTGAAAAAGGCAAACACAATCCAGTACATCATCCACTTCACCTGCAAAAGAGCAGTCACTCAGTAGACATCCATCAGAAACAAGAAAAATAGCAAAACACCTTCTCAATAAAAATGACTCATCATTTTCACACACTGAGATGAAGTCAGCGGAAAGAAGGCATAATCAGCATTGGAGAGGGTCACATATGAAATGTTACATTATAGTTTAGGGAAATACATAAGATTAATATACTCTAAATATATAAATATAGCAATCATCAGCTCAATGTCCGGGTGGAGACCAGCGATGAGTGGTGTCCCTCAGGGGTGTGTACCAGGACTAGTATTATTTAACACCTTTGTCAGCAAACATGAACAGTGCGATTGAGTGCACCCTCTGTGAGTTTGCATATGACACCATGGTGAGTGGCGCTGTCGACATGCTGGAAGGAAGGGCCGCCATCCAGAGGAACCTGGGCAGGCTTGAGAGGTGGGCCTGTGCAAACAAGACAAAGTTCAAGAAGGCCAAGTGCAAGGTTCTGCACTTGGGTCAGGGCTACCCCAAACATGAATACAGGCCAGACAATGAGTGGATTGAGAGCAGTGTTGTGGAGAAGGATTTAAGGGTACTGGTGGATGAAAAACTGAGTATGAGCCGGCAGTGTGCACCTGCAGCCCAGAAAGCCAACCACCTGAGCTGCATCAAAAGAAGCATGACCAGTGGGTTGAGGGAGGTGATTATCCCTCGCTTGTGAGACCCCACCGCGTTCAGCTCTGGGGTGATCAGCACAAGGACATAGACCTGTCAGAGTGGGTCCAGAGGAGGGCCACAAAAATGATCAAGGGGCTGGAGCACCTCTCCTACAAAGACACGCTGAGGGAGGTGGGGTTGTTGTCTGGAGAAGAGAAGGCTCTGGGAAGACCTTATAAGCAGCCTTCCAGTACCTAAAAGGGGCCCACAGGAAAGATTCTTTATCAGGGAGTGCTGTGATGGGAAGGACAAGGGGTAATGACTTTAAGCTAAAAGAGGGTAGGTTTAGATTAGGTGTTAGGAGGAAAGTCTTCACTCAGAGGGTGGTGAGGCATTGGAACAGGCTGCCCAGAGAAGCTGTGGATGCCCCATCCCTGGAGGTATTCAAGGCCAGGTTGGATGGGGCCCTGGGCAGCCTGATCTAGTGGGTGCCACCCCTGCCTATGGAAGGCGGTTGGAACTAGGTGAACTTTGAGGTCCCTTTCAAAATCATAGAACGATTTGGGTTGGATGGATTGGTTGTATGTCTGTCCTGTAACAAAATCATGACACAACAATAGCGTTATAGTCCCAAATAAACTAACTGTCTAAAACCAGTAAGTAGTTCACTTTGAGTACAGTTATATTCTTTAATATATAACGAGTTATGTTAATAAATACACGTGCACTTAATTAGTTTCAACTGTAGCCCTACTTTTTCTTAATTTTAAATGTTATCTTGGGGGCAAGAGAAGAACTACAGATGTAGTATTTTGCTCTAACGTATTAAGGTGAATTCGAATCATAGAATCACTTAGGTTGGAAAAGACCTCTAGGATCATCTAGCCCTACCTTCAACCTAGCACAGCCAAGTCCACCATTAAACCATGTCACTAAACTCTATATCTACACATTTTTTGAAGACCTCCTTCAACTCAACTACTTCCCTGGCTATTCTTAGTCTTAATCATTGCTCTCAGAAATTCCTTCAGCATTTCTCTTTTCTTCTTAAAGAAAGACCCAGTAAGAGAGGCAAGAAAGCAAAGAACATAACATATAAACACATCTTCTTGTTTAGGCTCTTGAATGTAGTTTACAAACTGTACTTTGTGCTATTATGGCACACCTATATACCTAAACCCTATCTCCCAACTTCCATCTTTTCTGTGGAGCAGTAGACGTCTTGTTTCCTTTGAAAAAGAGTAATTACACCTTTCCCTCTCTCTCCCCATCTCTGTCATTTTTGTAGCAAGTCTGCCAGCTACAGACCAACCAACGTTATTATGTAAGAGGAATCAGTCAAATTATGAAAACCACTACCCCAACATTTCCAATAATAATAGGGCCAACATAAATGAAATTGACTGTTTTCTGTGCCATCAAGAAGTAAAAATAAATTTAAGTAGGAAATAAATGGAAACAAGAGGTCACCTTTGCTAAAAGCAACTTAACACTCTCAGTGTCATCAAGAATGAGAAAAGGAATAATTTGAACCACGGAAATCTCACATATTAAAACCACACATTAACATACATATTAAAGTTATGTGAACAGGTAAGCGAGGGTCTTACTATAGCAAATAGTGTTGTAAAAGCAGATATTTCCCCAACTTGTACGTGATGGAAAATAATATGATCTGCTCTTGAAAGACCCTCCAGAACTTTCCAAAAAGGCTTAAAAGGAAAAGAAATGCTGCCTCAAACCCTGAAACAATAGCCAGCTTTTAAAAAGGTGATTAGTGTTTCAAATATTTTCCATTTTATTGTGCAACTTTTCACAACAGAAAGTAGCAAAACATTAATTTTATGGTTCCCCTCTCCTCCTGCCTATAATCATCAATTCAGACAGGACAGGTGTTATCGACTTGAGTTCTAAAGCAACTCTATGAAATTAATGATTAACTCTTTGATGCAGCAACATAAATCAGCTCTTGTACAAAAACAATTGTGAATAATGACAAATCAAAGGTGGCAAATGGGGATCTGAGTGGGTGAGAGATTTCAGAGACTCTCTGTACCAACGAATCTTACTTCAGTATTATGCAAAATGAAGGCAATCATCACAAAAGTAAGCATTAAATACATAGATATATACAACATAATACAGAATTATTTTTTTATGAGGAAAAAATAACTGTAGCAGAAGTCTTTGTTTCCATTAGCTCTCACTACAGTGGTTGGCTAATGGTAATGGAGTTTTTACTAAGTTTCCAACACGCCTACATAAACATTCAAAAAAACTGAATTGCTGAAGATAAAAGGTAAAGGCACTTGAGGACTAACAACTAGTCCAAAGAGAGGAAATGAAGTGTAAAAATAAATGGTCACTTCTCAGAATGAAAAGAATGTCAGAATGTGACAAATATTCTCGTTACATAAATTAGCTCACAATGCTTGAGTGGTCACAGTAGACAGCCTGATTAAACTAAGTTCCGCCCCATCAGAGTTTTTCAGTAGTAACACAATGTTCAGGAGTATTAGAAAAGGAAGAGAGAAGAACAGAAAACATTGCTATGTTACTATTTAAGTGTACTATATGTTCACATCTTCAACACTGGGCATGGGTCTGGCTTGCCCTGTCTCCTTCTGCTGTCATCCTACCCCCTACAGCCAAAGAAAAAAGAAATATAGTTAAGTAAGCGAGAGGGACTCAACTTTTAGCTCTAGAAGTCCCTGAAGTGCAGATTACCAGATGCTAAAAGAGCAGAACACAAGGGGGATGGTGAAGAGGGAAGCATCACTTTTTTCCCCCCCGTTTATAATTTTTGTTATCCACAGATTACTAGTATCTTCTAAAACTAATCCTGTGCTGTATTTGTTTTTCAATCCATTAAAAAAGAGTCAAGTCTCTGTTGCTCAGCAGTTGATCACCAATTTCAGCTAACTTGCACCAAGAACCTAAATAAACTCAGTAAATGTAAACATATTATTGGAATGTAGATTTGACCAAAGCTGCAGACCACATGTGAAAGGAAAACAGTTACTTTTAAAACAGCCTAAGGTGCTAGAAGCAATTTGTCATGGCTGCTCAAATACATAAATCTATATCACAGCATGGCAAAAAAGTGTTTGCACTGTACTCTGATGCCATTGCTGGACTGCTTGTAATATCTTGATCCGTATCAACACAGTCTGCAATACATCACACTCTCTAGCATATATATACACCTGCAAGACCTTTCTCCCCCACTCGCATTTGCTCTTAGTAGTACACAGCTGGCTTGAAACTATGGACCACAGCTTTCAAATTTTCCACTGCCTTGTCATATGAGAAGCAGTTTGAACAGATGTTGGCCCCCTTTCCTGAGTTTAACAAAACCATTTTTCCCGTCTTTCTGCTTCTGTCGAGAAATACAAAGCTGTCTAAAGATTACTGATTTGGGCAGTTGGAATCCAGCATCTAACAGAATCACAGAATCACAGAATTTCTAGGTTGGAAGAGACCTCAAGATCATCAAGTCCAACCTCTGACCTAACACTAACCAGTTCTCCACTAAACCATATCGCTAAGTTCAACATCTAAACATGTTTTAAAGACCTCCAGGGATGGTGACTCCACCACTTCCCTGGGCAGCCTATTCCAATGCCTCACAACCCTTTCGGTAAAGAAGTTCTTCCTAAGAGCATCTACATGTTTAATTCTGATGTAGTCCTCTTAAAGAAAAATAATTCACATATAAGATCAGTTTTAGCAGTACGAATATATCTTCTTGAACTAACTCCAGTATTTTAATTTTTTAATTGAAGACAAAAAAAAAAAAAAAAAAAGGAAATTTTCTATTGCAGCTGTCCAGAACTATCTACTTCAAGAAAACTGTAACAATGAAGTATTAAACAAAAGCCAAAAACAGATGTCATTCTTTTCCATATCGGCCCCAGCAGGACTTAAAATCAGGTGATTAGTTGACATTCATGTTATGACAACTTTATGATACTCAAGTACCAGACCTCATTTCTTTTTAATCATCAGATTAATAAAGTCCTGCTGCAATTAAGGTGACGTCTACCAACACAAATTCAGATTAGTATGTTTGTATTATGCAAGACACGTTGCATTTCTGTACCTCAACAGCCAACTTACCCTAAGAAAATAAGCAGGCTTTTACAGTAAAGCATCTACAAACTCAAAGGCTCTGTATTTACTGGGTCTTTGAACTCCAGAACAAGCCATGTGTGCTGGCTGTTTTAAAAAAGGAGAGTTTTTGTTTTTAAATCCCTCAAATTCTCAACAACACATTTCAACACATTTTCAAACTGTGAAAAATGGGCCTGCCTTACAGCTAACACAACTTCTGTAACCGGAAAACAATAGTTCCATGACAGGCACTTAAGAGCCAAATAAAAATTCCAAGTAAAAACCTGCCTTTGATGCAACAAAGATCACAGACAACTGGTCTAAAAGAAAACGAGGAGAGAAAACAGCAGCAGTAAGACTACCAGATAATTATGAAGTCACGGGATCATTCAACTACTCAGTTTCTTTTATGCTTTCCTTTTGGTTTTTAATGTTATCATAGTATATAGTATTCCTGACTATACCTCTAATACTCACTTAAAACACTGCATTGATTATCAGTGCCTACTGAACATTCAGATTTTGACTTCTCTGCTGAAGGCATAAAAAAAAAAAACAAAAAAAACCAGCCAAGCTAGATGATGCAGTTTTAAAAGCTGTCCACTATGAATAGACTCTACCTCAGCTGCTCTCTCCTTCAAAAACCAACGTGCTGAATTTTAAGCCGATGCATAGGAAACACCTAGGCAATTCTAGAGGACCGAAGCAGAATGAGACATATCCTGCAACATTTACTATTGACACGTCATTTTGTAAGCAGCAAACAGAGCCAACTGGATGAAGAGTTGCAGACTGCACCACAAAGAAATACTGGCAAATTATATTCTATTCGGCCATGTTACCTCTCTTCTCTATCTGATTATTCACTGCTCTAAATATGCAGAAATTCTTCCCATCCATAAAACAAATAGCTCATCTCCTCTAATCATCTTAGAACAGCGCTTCTGTAAGAAACCAACACACCGCATCACTGAAAACTATTTGGTGTTTTAAATATGGCAATTGCAACAATGACGTAGGCAGAGAGAGAGAGAGAGAGAAGGAAATGTTTCCAGGATGGAATGAGAATGAAGTCTTGACCAACAGGAATTGCTGATCACAAGCAAGGTTGATAGGATAATACAAACCATGCATGATTATTTAGGTTTTTAGAAGAAAACAAAAGCAGTACTGAAAAAGCAGTAAAAGGACACAAAGTAAGAACAAAGTTGGAGAAAAGAACTTGTCCCTGGACTTCCATATGCTTCCAGACCACACTGTTCCTCCCATCCTCAGCCAATATTTCCTGGAGGGGGAAGAAAAAAACAAAACACAGAAAACCCACGTTTATGGCTCAAAACCTCCCATTTCAGTAAGTGTCCTTCCTCGAAACATCTCCGAAGTCTGTCAGGGCTGCTCTTCAGGCGGCCCGTCCGACCTGACGCCGCTGCGGGCCGAGCAGCCCCTGACACTGGGCCAGGGCCAGGGCCAGGGCCAGGCCGTGGGCTCGCAGGGAGCCGCGAAGGACGGGGCGACCACCGCGCCCACACGGCGAACCCGTACTCACATATTCCTTCACGTTTTTCGTCTTCACGGCCTTGTAGGAGGAATACGCAGGGTAGAGGGTGCCGAAGATCAGCCTGCAAAAAGCGCAGAACCCTCAGCGCCTCACGGCCCCGCAGCGCCCCGCACGCCGACTGCCTCCGCCCTGGGCGGCTCCCGCTCCCCCGCCCCCTGCCAAGGCGCTGCTCTCGGGCCGCGACGGCCAGCGCGGACCCGCCGGGACGCGGCCGCGGGCGACCGCGAGGCAGCGCCCGCCCCGCGGCCCCTCTCCTCGCCCCGCGGCCGAAACCTGCGGCCCCACCGGGGGCGGCGGCCGCGCCCCGCAGGGGCTCCCCGGAGCGCCCCAGCCCCGAGAGGGCCCTGCGCATCCCCCCGCCCCGGCACTCACACCACGAGGCGGGAGATGATCCAGGAGACCATGGCGGCGGCGCCGGGTTCCGCGGCGGCGGGAGCCGACTCTTAACGGGCAGGCTCCTGCAGCAGGCGCAGCCCCGCCCCGGCACTGACAGGGGCGGAGCCGAGGGGCCGCATCGCTCCCCGTGCCGCCGCGGAGACCCCGCCGCCCCGCCCCGCCCCGCCCGGCCCCGCCCCGCCGGAAGCAGCCGCAGAGGCTCCCGTGCCTGCCCGCTCCGCTGGCGGGGGTAGCGGCGCTCCCCGGGGGACAGGGCCGAGGGCAGCGCCGCAGGAAAGGGGACCTGCTGGAGAGACGGCAGCAGAGTAACACGCACAGCGTAAGAAGATGACTGAAGCGTGATGACTGAAGGCACTTCAGGAGGCAGTAATAGAGACGGCGGAAGAAGCCATCTTCCAAAATTAGAAGTTACCTGCTCTAGGAGGCCCTACACAACAGCCGTCAAAATGATGCAAATAAATGGGCTACTTAAAGTCTTTTCAAAACTCTCAGCTTCACTGAAAACTGTCTGTAAAACAATTAACTCACAGATACAGCAGAGGTCGTTATCAAACCTAAGTGATGAAAGCTGTTCTTTGTAGTTTCGTGGATAACGCACTGTTGCCTAGTGCTCTCGCTCCTAGGAATCACAGATGAGAGGCAAAGGATTGCTTACCTGTACAAACACGTCTGAATGGGGAGACAAGTAAATATTATTCATGTGTATTTTTAAACATACTAGTGTGCCAGAAAACTGAGCAGCAAAAGTTGTTATAGTGACTCAGCAGAGAGTACTGTTAAGAGGATCAACCTTTTCGGTCGTTGCAGGAGTTAGTGGAATGTTTTGCCACCCCTAAGGAAACTAGAGACAAAGACTGATCAGGCTCAATACACAGACCTTTGAATCACACTAAGATGACCATTACACAAGCTGAATTTCAATTTTAAAATATATTAATTTGCTAGAAAGCCTTGTGCAGTTTAACTAACAAAAAAGACAACCTCCTCCCCATCCCCCAACAACATAAACATCAAAACACTAAGGAATGTACTATGGCAAAATCTTGCCAAATAGCCTTTCTGAAAAATGAAAGAAAAAGAAAGGGAGCAAGAACTGTGATTTGCTAGGGAACAATTTTCTTACAGATGCATGAGCCTCAGTGGTAATGAGCAATGATGAAAAACACACAACATCAGCAACTTTCCATTACATGCAAGAGCTGAAAACAAAACTGTCACTACAGACAGTGACAAAGAACATTTTGTCACAGTCCGCTTTTGGATATGAATGGCCACAATATGATTGCATAAGGGACTGCACAATTTACACCACTGATTGCACAATTGACCTACAAATAGGATAAGGGTAATCTGCTCTCACACATCCAAGTAACACAAACCTGCACTTCCCTCATCAGAACAATTGCATTTCTATCCCCATGAGTTTTGTGCCAGGGATCAGGTAGAGAACAGCTCTGTTACTTGAATAATGTGCTCATGTTCAGGTGAGTGAAAGATGCAAACAGAGAAAATTCAGAGACTTGTTGAGTACAACGTATGAAAAGACTGTGAGTGCTGAGTAACTGCAGCATGGGTATGTGACACACAAAGAAAACGTGCCTTAGTATTCTGAACTGTTTAATGTGCCAAGGAATAGCAGGAACATTTGCAATGAGAGGTATAAATAGTGATAAGAACAACAAAATATGAACATCAACATTAGTAAAGCAGGTGGTCTTGTGAATATCTTAAGCGAGAGTCCATTATAAAGTGGCAAATTAAGCTTTAGAACAACTCCAGGAAAAGTATTTTAAGCTAGCAATTTACATGTGTAGTTAGCAACAAGGAACTTTCCATATCATGAAGAAGAATGAGAAATTAATTACCTTCTCACAAGGAGAAGCTGCTGGTACTGAAAAGCTATTTTTGTAACAAAAGACTGCTGTAGGTCAAACTGAAATAGAATGATTTATTATTAAGTTATTAGTAATGTTGCATAGTGTTGTGTAACTAAGATTGTAAGACTTATTGAGGAAAGCAATTCATTGATTGCTTTCAAATTAAGGCTGTGTATTTTCTACAACCAGATACACTACTGCTGAAGTAACTGATGACAAATGTGTGTTCTACAAATGTTTAAAACGGTTGAATAACAATCCATTTTATGGCCTAAACAATGAGGCAAGGGAAAATTATCTTCCTTGACTAGAGAAACTTGAGCAAAGCTACATTTACACCAATGCCAGGTCAGATGTGGAGATCCTACCAAAACTGAGGTTCAGGCAGAAGCTGCTCTAATGAATAGAAATGACAATTACTCAGTGCTGAAGAACACAGTAGCTCTGGAAAAAAAAAACAGCAGAATAAATAATGGTCTTAGGAAGAAAGGTGAAGTGGAAGATCTCAATAGCAGCCCTACCTCTGAAATTTAAAGGTGCACTTTGTAATGTAAGAGTATCAAACCTTAAAAGGACTAAGGAAAACAGAGACAAAGTGTAAATTGACAATGTAAACTGACATCGTAGAAGTAAGGCCCTAGAACTGGAAAAGATTATTCTGAGAGCATTTCCTTTTCTCACCTGTTTTGCTTTGTGATTGGAAGCCATTTAGTTTAGAAGAGACCTTCATACTGAAAGCAGCTTTATTTTATTAATTCTACATCTTGAAACTCACTTTACCATTTTTTGTATGAGTCTGTATATGTGCACAAAGATAAAATAAAAAGTTCTTCCAAGGGGGGTGGGGGGGAAGATGGATATAAACAAAAGTAAGATGAGTTGTACCTGGTTATTTTTCAAATGCCTAGTGGGAGTATGCACCTGTTTTTCAGTGGTTGAGATTACGGATCTTAGAGAGACTGCCACTTAAGAGGAAAGGAAGCTATGGGCTGATTTCAGACTCTGGGGTGCAATGGGAGATAGTGACCACAAGCAGGTCTATGCAACCCAAACAGATGTGGCTTAAGTTAGGGGAAACACTGAAGGTGACAGTCAGATGGGTTTACTTACCAGTAAGATGTATTGTCCACAGGTGCTTTTATGCTATGCTTCACTTCCATGCTGTGTAGTTCCATGCTCATTTTCTACTTAAACAATACTTGTAAGATATGCTAGATGCATGAGTAATTCACTAGCACATAATACATTTCAACCAACACCTCACAACGTAAGAAGTGAGGAAAGAGAGGGAAAGTCCTATATGCAATACATTTTAAAGAATATCTGTGCCTGAAAACTTTTCATCTTTGTATTGCAGGTAAATCCAACTTACTGTTTAACACCTAACTTCCCTTCAATACTATCCTGATTCCACATCCCCAGGTTCTACAAGAGGTGACGTCAGAATCTATCAGAATTTTAAATGAATTATACATCCTTCAATGTATTACTTTTTTTCTTTCTCATTTATGTTGCCTTGTTCAGTTTCCTCAGAGTACTGTTTATAAACAGAGAAATTATTAAATGTTGTAAAAATAACCTTTGTGGACTGCGGTATTTTTAATCAACGTCACATAAGGGATGAAGTTGTTAGGTTGAAAAGGCATTTCTTTCCCTTCATCTGAGACTGAGAAAAAGAGATGAGTGCGTCCTGTGTAATGCTTTGAAGTATCTGTGAAACTGTTAAATGACAGTGCTGCATATGCCCTTTTGCATGGTTGAACACACATTAACCTTCTGTATTGTGAATGGAATCTAAATTCACTTGGGCAGGTAAACAGCTCTAACAGCCTGAATCCCTTCTCTCATTTGCCTGTAGTTCCACAGGATACCAAGACACAGCAAGGTTTTAGCTAATATTAAAAAATGCTGCCTGCCCACTGTCTTATGAAGTTCCATTTAGTAATAGCAAGACCACATTCAGTAGAATAAATGTCATGTAAAAGCTAAGGATGTTTGAAAGAAAACACAACCAAAACAACCAACCCCTCAGTTGTCTGGGATTTTATATATAAACAGACACATATACACTTATAAAAATATATACGTCTCTCTCTCTACATGGTTATATATATTTATATATGATTATATATATTTATATATGATCTACATATTTTAAATTAATATACAAAAATGTATGTTTGCTGATACATGGTATATGAAAATTCTATTTCAAACATTCTGAAATTGTACAGTGGCAGTTATATTTTATTTAGTTGGACAGAGTTCTAGGAGCTGACAATTCATTTTTAATCAACTGAAAATCTTACGTTGGTAGAAAACAAACAACAACTGGTAAGTGGATTCTGAATCTAGCTAAATGCGAATCTGTACCTCTTATAAAAAAAAAAATACCTACTTGGAAAAACTTGCCAAAGGAAGTGGTAGCCTCTACCTCTTGATTTATACAATCCAGATAAAAGATAAAAAAGGTCAAATATTAAGTTAGAGCTGATTTGACCAATCAATTTACATTTTTTTCCTGTCTTATATGATCTAAAATTTGGATTGCTATGTATTTCTTAATTCTAATCTGTAATTTTTGTGCAAATCATTCCTCTGTTTTTGTTTGAATATTGCCTTAGATTAATTGTACTCTACGATTGTTAAAGAGGAAATTCAAGAGTCAAAAACAATGTTTGATAGACTCAAACCAAACAAAGGCTCATTATGAGATGCAGAACTCTTGCTGTAGATCACCGCACTGCAGATGACCCAGTTATTGTATTACACACAGCTAAGTCTTTGTCCTTATGATCTTCATCTAACTGCCATAATTGCTGATACATATGCAAAAACGGGGAAACATCTCAACCAGAACTAGACATTGAGAATGGTTTATATGCACAGAGTCCATTAGGAGAGCACAAGAAACTCTGTGTAACAGGTATAATACTGATGCTGAATGTTTAATGACTCTGGGATAATCCTTTTAATCTGCAGAAGACTGGCATAGCCCATACTTGAAGGACAGGTGCAAGGGTATGAATCCAAGGATTAAACTACTCGAATCAAGCAATCAACCTGAAATGCTGCCAGCCAACAGGTCAGTGAAAAGAACTGCTACTGACATCACAATCTCCAAGGCCAGAAACCAAGAAATCTTTACAAGCCCATCTATTTCTTCAG